TGAGTTTTGACAACTTTATTCGAATATTATGTAGGTATGTTTTATAATTCGTAAATGGGCAGTCACTAAAGAAAAAAGGTAATACCTAAACTATTACAAATTTTAAATTATGAGCAGTCCTGGATTTACACTAGGAGCACTCGGGGCTAGTGCCTAGGGCGGCTAATTTTTAGGGGCGGCCAAATTCGGAGGGTGGGGATAAAATTTTCTTCGCGTTATCGAAAATGCTTTTTTTATTTTACAAAAGGTGAAAAATGAAAAAAGATTAATTAATAGATAAATTTTAAATATTATTAAATAATAAAGTTTTTTAATATTTTATTATTTGTGATATTATAGGCTAAAATTAAATAAATAATATTGCAATATTTAATTATAATACTTATAATTTTTTTTCAAATGCTCACAATTAAAATCAACAAATATTGTAAGGCACTTTGGTGCCATTTTTGATTTTTTGAAATCATTTTAGTAAAATAGTAGGTAGGCACTGTCCGTAACAAGTATATAACGCCTTTGATACGTCTAAAATCTTAGTCTTTCCCGTGACCATGATTGTTATAAATCACTCGAAACGTCGGAAACCAAAAATCAAAATAAATCCACGAAATAATTCAAATATTTGCGTAAATCTAAGAAAGTAAATAGTAGGCACACTATTCGAAAAATTGATGTCATTAATATTTTTTTTTTGTATTTTTCAAAATATTAATTTTAATAATTAAAAATATTTAAACTTTATCGAAACTTTACCCATTTTATGCAAAATTTCGATATTATGGCTGCAATTTTTACTGTGCCCAGGGGCGGCGCAAAGGTTAAATCCGGCCCTGGTTATGAGTATGTATTGATTGGGTTACTGGGCTGTTAAAACTTTATAATCACGTCATTTGTATATTATGCGGGTCAAAGGTCACATAAAACACGTGTTTCGCTTTAACTTTTCCGCGTAACGTTTAAATATATTTATTAAAATCCAATATAATTTTTTGAGGAATATTGTATTAAACATGAAATTAGTAAAAATAAAACGGAGAATCTTCTTCTACGGGATCATCTCGCTAAACGAAGCCTCAGAGAGCGAACAGTAACCAATCTTCTGTCAAACTCTTTTGCCCTAAAAGAACTACGTCGAAACCCGCTATAAAACCTCCTGCATTTGATAGGGCCGGTCATTCTTTTCTCCTAGAGCTAGTGCTCTAACTTCGAACCTTTATAGGTTTTCACCTGAGTCTGGTGATAGTACGGGCGAGTTACATCAATTATTCACTATGACGTTGAGACTTCCGTCAAGATTTAATGAGCTGTAAGTAAATATCTTATTATCGGTATTTGACTTCCACCCACACTTGGAATCGGATCGGAAGCAGATAAGGATGTGTGAGAACGCATTTTTCAGCGAAAAATGTTTTTAAAATGAAGAAAAATTCACCAATAGATTTATTATTCAATGTAGTAGTTTCACTTTTTCGTAGACGAGTTATAATAAGTATAAACTATGACATTAAAGACCGTGCAAAGTGGAGGAGGCTTAGCAAGAAGGCAGACCCCGGCAATAGCCGGGATTAATAATGCCTGGCAGAAGAATAAGTATAAACTATAAATAGCATAGGCACTTGCTAATATTGTAAATCTGAAATCGTTTCTATTACTTTGACTATTACTATTTTTATATTACTTTGTCCTTACAGGCAGCAATAGAGGCACGATTCAATGCGATTTTAACCCGACTGCGGCGAAGCCCAAAGGAGGGTTATATGTTTCACCTGTTTGTATGTATGTATGTATGTCTGATCGTATGTTCCCTCGTAATTACCTACTAAAAGACTTAACCGATTTTGATCCGATTTTGATAACGCGAGTATTTACCTAAAGATATCATTAAAAATTAAAAACGCGGATCCTAGGCGCCAATTTGTTTTGTCTTGAAAACAAAATTTATCCCAATAAATTGAGAGTTTTTTTAGCATAGCCACAGTTTATTGATCTCGATATATCAAATTGGCTTCGTGAGATTCTATTCCATTGCCTAAAGTTACTAACAGGACTAAGCGAAGGCAAGCGGTATAACTTTTAACTATTTAGTATGTATAATATAAGTTTCCATAGTACATTGGTTTACAATTTAGTTAGTCTGTTAGGTATATTTCAGAAATGTATACTCCTACTTTAATTCATAGTTAAAACTATTACTTAACTGTTTAGATAAGAAATATTTTTATAATATTGAACACATTCAGTTAATCCTTGGCCGATTACAGTAAATTATTTTTAAAAAGACTCCGATACTGTAGTCATTAAAGAATTTAAAGTGATATGCAACATAACGACATGTTTCTGAGTTGTGACAAAGCTTTTGTGAAAGTCCTTCAGCTTTCAACGAATTGCTGCTAATGTTTCACAGCCCTGTAATTCGTATGAAATTACATATTTTGGTGCCGGACTGACACTTATAAAAATGTTTGCACATATTTCTACATTTTCCTATTGCTATATATAGAGTACCTATAGTTTTATCAAAGCTTCGAAATTTATTGACACCCTGTGCCCTTGACTTTCCGATATTGGAAATTGCTGTGCACTAGGGTAATTTCATTTTCTAGTAGCACCATATTCGCTCGGAACTAGAGATGTTTCAAATAATTTGATAGAGAAGTTCTTATATGTGGGAATTTGTTTGTTGATGATATTATACTATTAACTAGTGGTTTGTATGTAATTTTTAATGCCGAATCAAAAAAATATTAATACAAAATTTTTTGTCTAAGAAATAAAAACATTTTTTTGGTGTGGACGGACCGCTTAAGGGTATGAAAAATTGTTTACGTCCTATTCTCAGACCTACTGAATATATACACAAAATTTCATAAGAATCAGTCAAGCCTTTTCGGAGGAGTTTTGTTACAAATAGTGTGACACGCGAATTTTATATTTTATATATAAAAGGCAGTAAATAGCCAATTCCAAATATGCTTAATTTTCCGTATTACTTTTATTTGGACTACAATAGTCATTTCTAATATAAAACAATAAAAACTTGAATGAAAAGTTTATTTGAAAAAGCCAATAAAAATAACACCTTTTCCATGAATGCCTATAGCGCTGCATTTCCTGAGAATTAAGCTGACAGGCGGAATTGAGTTTAGCTCTTAAGGTCACTGCAACGCATCGGTATATTGCATAGATATTTCTAGGTAGGTCTGTATAAACTTTTTGTCCACGTGGATATAGTTCTTCGTTATAAACTTTATGGTCGATTATATTTTGCTTGATATTATACAACAGTATAATTACAATATCATAGGAATTAACTTTTGCTACTCATATGACTGTTGGTGCATATGATAGCCGGTTGACGTAATGATCTGATATATTGTTCCGATCGGCTCCGTATAAATAGAAATACTTCACATATTTCCAAAGATATTTTTAGCCCACTAGAGGTCGGTCTTATAAGCACGTCATTGTTTTGTCTATTTACATTTGATAAGTCTTGAATTTTTCAAAGTTAATTAATTAGTGTTCCAGTCATAACAATTTTATAAAAATAATTTTATTTTACAAAATTTTCAAAAAACTTAATGAGATTTCAACAACAGAAGTAAATTATAAGTGCATTGAATTATGCTCATTGACCCAAATTATACATATTAAAGTTTGTAGCGGCGCCATAAACAATGTTGGCGCCAAAATTAGACGAAACAAACATAAAGTGTTGTTACTTTTTACAAGCCTGCGTTAAATAATATAGTATATTACGCGTCGATTAGCTTGTATGAAATTAACGATACAATAAATTTGTTGATTTGATAGTTTGGTTAGGTTAGTATTTTAAGTATTATTCCGTAAGTCACTAGGACTTATCCTCTCGTGTTTTGACATGGGAATGTCAGATTTCCCTGTAGTATAAAGCCCATGTAAAAAGTTATCACTACATAAGAGATAATTAAAGTAAATTTGGTACTTTTTATAATAACAATGATATAAAAACAAACAAACAGACTAAAATTTCAAACAACTATTGGTTTGGGGTCTATATTTTGTACACAACACATAACAGTCATTAATTAAAAAATATATATTTAATGTATGATTTCGCTTAGTTACTACTTTAATATACTTACGTATAGATTTAAATAAGTATATTAAATTCTGAATCTCAAACAGTGCTACGTGTATTTCCTCATTAAGCCAAAGGTATTTAATCAAAAAAATCGCATGCAATAAACATTCGCTAAGCATTAGCAGTATTTTTTTTGTTTGTTTTAGTTTGATATTACTTAAGAATGAGGTATTCGGTTTAAAATAGCGAAGTGAAAATATACAAGTACGTATACTTACTGAAATGAGTTTTTAAAGCGTTTCAGAAATCAAGAATAATTTGAAAGAATTGTTGGATACAGATCATGTATTATAAAAAAAGTAGGAATATTAACCTTGAATCAAAATTACTACACGTACTTACCTACTTTTATTTTTATTAGTCTTATTTTTGTAAGAGATGAACAACCTTTGCTTTAAAAAATCAAGTAAATATATCTATCTATTTAAATAACTTGTTAATAGGAACGTATTTAATATTTTAATATATTATTTAAACTAAAAAAATATCGTCAATTTATTAGAATTAAAAAAAGGAATTTTTGCAAATACAGCGTGTAGCACTAAAATATTGAGCTTATATAATTTATTATATAAGGACGATTTATTACGGTATTGGTTTTTTTATATTGTAGCAAATCTAAAGAAGAAGGAACAGTTTAATTAATGTTGAGCTAAGTGTATCCATTCGTAACACGTGCTAAATGTCCAATCTGTCATAACAACACACACTGTGAAGTTACTCGCAACGAAAAACTTTGTGAACTCTACATTAATTTTTTTAACTACATCAGTATATTTTTTAATATAGTACATAATGAAATATAACAAAGTTTGAAAATAGCATAAATTAGTACAACTGGTTGTTGCACTTACACTTGTATTAGTCGCACACATACCGCTTTTGCCGACCGATGGTGCACCGATCACAGCCACTTTCACTTCAGACAGCGATGACTTCTTCCGTCTTATGCCTCGGCTCGTCATTTTCCCGTGTGCATTAACGGCCGCGCGGCGCGCCTTCCGAATGCCACGCCGCTCTCCGCTTCACTCAACGAAAACCCCGCTCCCGCCTACCAGCTAAAAATATATAAAGCGACACTGCTCTGACAACGGCTCCGGTGTTAATGGGTCAAGATCTGGCCAAGATCAGTTGTGCAAATAGGCATGTTTACGTCGCGTTCAGCTTCCTGACGCTTCGCGCCACGTGTCCGTGGCGACAGGCCAACCTCGTCCAAACGGCTTTGATTCGACAATCAAATTATACACGATAATCCATAACATGACAGCACTTTATTAGTTTTTCAAGTTCATGATAAAATAAATAAGTTTATGTCTGTAGTATGTTAATTCTAATACCATGTAAGTCTTTTTATGAAATGGAAAACGGTGAATGGTATGTAATGGTAATTTTATATTGTTTTTGTAAATAAGTAATGTTACTACTTGTATATAAATACTCTACCTCGGCTCACGTCTCTGTCATGTTTTCATTGTTGAAGTATTTTCAGTCCAAAACTTGAAGTAAATTTCATCAACAGCTATGTACGGAGGAATGTTTGGACGCATGCCAATGTACTCTTCAGCAGGTATACAATAAAATGTCCGTAAGTGTTGGGCGGACGCTACGCCATCGCAAAAGCATATAAGAGTCGTTCAATTGGCCACTATGTAATAGAAAAATAATAAAAATTCAGAATTTGTATGCACTACATTACCAAACTATTTTCATTACAAGCAAAGTCCAAATTATGACAAATACACAGTTGCACATGTGACGCTTAAATTACTGGACAACACAAATTCAAAACATCTTTATACTCCGCCAATATATTTAAACACTTATTTTTTCTAAAGGTGAACTTTAATTTTGATTACTATACGGAGCCCATAAGCAATATTAATCCGTAAGTATTCTTGACTTGCAGGAACAATAGAATTACAATTTTAGAGCAAGTAATCAACTTGTATGAAATTAAAGATGAGTAAAACGTAAATAAAAATATTCTTTTAATAAAGAAGTTTATTATAGGATACATGTTTATGAAGTTTATTATGGGATAGACGTGATGTGTGTTCTTATTATATGGCATGGTCACAGCATGGTCAAGGCAGATAAGAGGCGGAGTTTTTCATTTAAATCGGATAATCAAAATCATATCAAATAAAATAAAAAAATAAATAATGAGAATCGAAGTTATGACGATTTATTTTGTAAGGTCAATTTATTTAACAAGTATTATATATACACTAGCGACTCACCCTCGCTCTGCTCGGGTTCGTCTCTTGGTACGTTTTAACGGTTTGTATAGACTTTTCAGAGATGACATTTTCCAGCAGTAAAAAATCAAAATCTCTCCAGGGTTTTCTTGTGATGTGTTCCCAGACAGAGAGACAGACAAAAAATTTAAAAACTATATATTCGACCTTTGTATCGATAATAATGACTATTTCAATAATAGTAAAGCTAAGATTGACTGGGTAGGGCCATTCTATTATATGGGACCCTATTATCAGGCAACTCCACCTGCGATTTCACACTCATTTTCTTTTGGCTTGTAGCTATCAAATATGGGATGTATTTAATATATCCGTATTACTAATATTATAAATGTCAAAGTTTGTGAGTATGTATGGATGTTTGTTACCCTTTCACGCCTAGAAGCGAACCCTAGCGAAGCGGGGGTGAGCCGCTAGTTTTAAATAAACTAGAAGCTGGTCTATGCATATAATAAAGTAGTGGTTCCGGAATGGAGGCGAACATACCTATGGGCAGACATATACTTACAGTCGTTGTGTACGTAATATGTAAAAAAATATATAGTATAGTGTATATGAAGATATTGGATAGATTTTGATTGAAATTAATATTATTATTAATGAATTTAGTTAAATTAATCCAGAGTCTATTGTATTTTTAACACACCAAAACTTCTTACGGAAATTTAGAATGAAAATTGTGAGAGTAAGACAAAATTACTGTAAGACTTTTTATATTAATTGAAATTATGTATTGATAAATAAATAAATGTATTCTAAATATTCTCACTTATTACAATATAGTTATTACAAGTAAAGTCTACTTACTTCTGTATCAAAAAAACACTAGTGAAAATCTTTTTATGCTTATCTATTTTAAACTTTATTGCCCTAGTCATCGATGTTTCAGAGGTTTTTGTACACAAAATTGATAAACCTATACATTATTTAAGTTCATTTGTTTACTATTTTTTTCCCTTATTGTAATTCAGTATACAAGTACCTTCTCTGATCGATTGAGCTATGTTTTCGCCGCCTCCATCCTGCATGTTACACATATGTTAGAGACATTATTGATAGCATTTTGCTTGCAAACTAAGTTTATAATAAAATTAGTATAGATATTCGGCCTAAGGTCCGAGAGATCCCATCGTATCTACACATGTTTGAGGTTATTTACATTCAAGCCACTTAATTTTTATTGTAATCGAAAGCTGCATTCGCAAGGAGCATAAGCCTCCAGACTAGTAATGGCCGCGATTGACACATATGTAAATACTTAGTAATTGAAGTTAATAATTTTGAATTAGTTTATACATATAATAAAATTCTAACTAAGTCGAATCTGTACATTCAATATTTTTTGGAAAATCTTATTGAAATAGACATTATTATCGATAAAGAGGCCGAATCTATAGTTTTTAGAATTTTTGTCTGTCTGTCTGTTACCGCATCACGGAACGTGACAACAAAGGACGAACCCGAGCGGAGCGACGATGAGTCGCTAGTTTATTATATTTCGCTCCTAAACCAGAATTCAAATTCTAAAAGCCTTGACAGAAATTTTGAAAATCAAACTGATAACTCTAATATTACTATGTTCCTTCGTCAACTTGTTCTTATCATTTTAGATCTATTTTTACTCAGTCAGGTCTTCTTATTTTTGTAAATTATTTCTTTATGTACGGCTTTTAGATTTTGATAAGTTAGACATTTTTAGTTTTATTTTACGATTTCTTATCCTAAATTATTTTTAAACTTATAGTCTTATGTAATTTGTGCTTCTAAATGTATATCTAAGTTTTATATTTTTGTAATCTTAAAAACCTATATTTTATTTTTAATACACCACTGGATTGATTCGGACGAAAAGTCTTTTTCGAAAAACACAAAAATTATTACTTAGGTGCATTTGATTTGAAATTATTAAAAGTAGCTCGCAGTCTGCGCCTGGTCCCTATAGGATCAAATCGGATTGCTGTCGCGTCGGCGTTCCATTAGGTTTATTGAATAGGAATAAGAGAAGAGTAACTACAGCTGTGATTCTTGTGCACTATATTTCTTTCAAGATGGCTTGCCTCAGTGAGGTTAGGCGCCGTTTATTTGTTATTTTTTATAGGTACATTTATTTTTAACATACCTATACAGATAAATAAAATTAAAGTGTCTGTTCGGAATGTCAAAATAACAGCTTTTTACTAAATGCATATGGAATGAAAAAATGAATTATATACGGTACTTATAAGAACAACGCAATTTTTTAAAATGTTTGTCTGTTTGTTCCGGTTAATCTCCGAAACGGCTGGGCCGATTTTGACGGGACTTTCACTGGCAGATAGTTGATGTTATAAGGAGTAACTTAAGCTACTTTTATTTCAGTAAAAGAATTAGCGATCCGCTGAAAATAAATAAAATTTACCTATGGACGAATCCGAGCGAAGTGAGGGTGAGTCGCTAATTCTATTATAAGGTATTTGTACTTGTACATAAGGTAAGATTTATATTGAATTTCTATTTTATTATATAGGTCCTAGTAAATAAAACGAAGTGTACATTGTATACTGGACCTTATTAATTGCACGTAGGCGGCGCTCCCGACAGTACAGCTCTAAAGTTCAATCAATAATCTGACCTTCACATTTAAATATTTCTAAGGATTGTTTTATACAATTTTAATAGGTATAGAATAGTAAGTATTTATTAAGTACTAGCATTGCCCGCGGCTCCGCCCGCGTTCCGATGACCAAAATCCAAATTCTTAGGTTTTACATATTAGTATACTCTTACATTGCATTTTTGAATTTTTTCTCAAAAATGAGATATTTTCCCGCGGTAAAAAGTATCCTATATGTTGCCCCGGATAACCAGTTACCATCAATATACCAAATTTCATCAAAATCCCTTCAGTGGTTTTTCCGTGATGCAGTCACAGACAGACAGACAGACAAAAATTCTAAAAACTATAGATTCGGCCTCTGTATCAATAATAATGTCTATTTCAATAAGATTTTCCAAAAAACATTTAATGTACTGATTTGGCTTAGTTAGAATTTTATTATATGTATAGATTTATAATTAACTGCCTAATTAAGACAGTGGTAAGCGGTAGCCCGCGGTAACGTGCTTGCTCGGAAAACCAAGTGAACCGGGCTCGAACACCATTGATATTTGCGTGTGCGAATCATTGTCAACATGACTACCACTTAAAACAGCTCATAAGGGTTTTCCAAGAAGACAAATATTTGGCAATTAACAATTATATTTCTCGCTCTTTCTGTATACTCATTTTACATTTATATTTTATATTCCTAACTTATATCCGAATCACCGATTGTCCACTTGATATATCAAAAATCTATTGTCTAAATCTACAAACTGACACATAAAATAACTAAATGTTACACACTTTTGTTTCAATGAAGAGTAACATTGAGGAAACCTCTAAGTTCTAACCCTTATAGATAACGATAAAATGATAGAGATGGATGGTGGATGAATGGTGTGGATCTTTATATATCCACACATATCGCTTATACGACTGCAGATCATAAGGTTGGAGTTCTGAGTTGGGTAAAGGAGCTACAGAAATGTTCTACCTGTCCGAAGTTGGAAAATTGATATAACTTACACCCACATATCTCGAAAAATATAGAAATACGTTAGTATTTGATGTCTCTCCTATAATATCAAATTGTTGTTATACTATTGACTTATGAGAGTAACAGAAT